GGGGGGGAACGGGGAAGAGAGTGAGTGATGAATCGGTATTATATAGCGAGTGGGGAAAGCGAGAAAATTTTCACTTTCTTGAGAAAGTGAGGGAAAATACGAGGAAACTGCTTCGCGTCGTTGAAAAAATGAGATACACGTCATTTTGGTCGAACAAAAAAGGACAATAATGCATGAGTCCACCTTTCACATATATGAATGTGTATATATACCGAAGTGATCTTATGATATGTAAGAATGTTATATATATATATATATATATATCCACGTTTCACATATATGTATGTGTATATATACCTGTGAAGTGATTTTATGATATGCAAGAATGTTATATATATATATGGATGTGGCCAAGAGAAAGTGGATGAGATCACGTCTGAAGAGAGAACAGATGTTAGAAAAAAATTCGCAAACCAGAAGGAAAAATTCTATAAAAATACAATAATTTGTCTAAATATATCATATAAATACTTTAATTTTTAGATTACTAAATAAATACAATTTAATCATTACACACATCATTTTCGTTTTGGTCAAATTTTGCATAAGCATAGAGCTTTCTTATCTTCAATACGTGCCTCTAGGTTCTTTTCTAGATAGATAGAAATTCGATTATCGGTGAAATAAATTATATTTCAATATATTTTTAACGAACAAATTTTATTAGTTATTTAGTATTTATCGGAATATTTATGATAAATATTCCGATAAATACTAAATAACTAATAAATATGTTATTCATGTACAACTATATTATTTGTATATGTTCATAATAAATATTAGGACTAATTAGGATAAATAGTTTTTCCACCTCAATATTTTTTTTGCATTAAGATTAGTACCCAAAAACTATATTAATTTCTGGTCAATGACCATGCGAAGAAGAAAGGAATTTGGTATTAAAAAAAAAATATCCAATGTATTTTGTATGGTTCCTCATAAAGATTACAATAAATTTCTTTAACTTTGAATCAATTTAAGAAAAATCTGATAAAATTCCATAAGATCGAATGGGAACCAATAAAATCGAAATGCCTAACATCCAATATGATTCTGACAAATTTATTTACGTTTTCATTCGATTTCTATTTATTTAGTTTTTCTAAACCACCTCCGTGGACTCCCCTTTGGATCAAAATTTAACGATTCAACACAATTGGGCCATCAAAGCCCAATGGGCCTTTCCGGATCTTGAGAACCAGCATCCTCCAACACGACGCCGTTGTGTAATGCCGATTCTTCCCATTTGACTCAGTGGGTCAGATCAGATCTGTCGGTGGCTGCCGCGTCGGTGAGGAACCAACTCGGCCAGAATAAATCTTTTTAAAAATATATATAAAAAATGAATAAATTATATTTTTAGGAATAAAAATCTGGCCGTAGCCCACTGGCTCACTGAAGTCCCATTCCATCGTACTCACGCTCTCACACGGGATAAATAGTTTCCCTCGTTCGACTAGATCCGATCTCAAAAACCTACTCATCGCGCTGAAATTTGCGACTCCTGTAGAGATCTGAGGCACCATTTCAGGTATGTTCGTAATGTTTGTTTCGTTCGTTCTAAGTTCTTGTTAATGTCTGTTCTGCGATTTAGGTTTGAATTCCATGTTTTTGGATGATGCGTCTTGTGCCCTTGATTTTAGTTTGTATTCGATACGACGAGTCTCTTGTTGTCTCTCCCATGTGAATTCAATGGATTTTGCAGTGTTCTTAGAATGCGGAGTCGTTGATTTGTTTATCTAAGCTTGAAAATATCCATTGGCAGTGGGATCTCAAGCGCAGTAGCTATCTTTTGACATGGTTTGGTCTTTTTTTGAAGTACGAGAAAAGAGTGTCGGAAATGGTATTATGTGGTTTGAGTACAACTGAGATATGGTTCCAGGGCACCTTGCGAATTGCGAGAAGCCGTAGAGATTCATAGCGATGGATCAGGGCCTCGGGTTTTATTCAGAGCTTTGATATGTCTGCTTAATGTAGTGTTGGAAACTAGGCCTTTTGATCATGTTTTGTAGCCTCTAAATCTTTTGTGTTCTCTTCGTATAATTGGTTTTCAGGTGCTTGTGACTAGGTGCTGCTGTGATTCCTCAGGAACATGGCTATGGGGAAGTATTCCCGTGTAGACGGAAGGAAATCATCAAACTATGGCTTAACCATCACCGTAGTTATGTTTGTTTCCCTTTGCCTGTTTGGGGCATGGATGTTCATGTCATCATCATCATCATCCGCCTCAGCTGAGACCGTGGACTTGTCGTTGAGGGAAACTGCGAAAGATATTGAAAGTGACAAGAGTGAGTTCACAAAAGAAGAAGTTTCCAGGAAAGATTTTGATGAAAAGAATGAGGAAAATTTGGTGACGGAGAGTAGGGAAGAGAAGACTGATGCGGAGAAATCTACTGAGGAGAAGCAGGACGATCAGAACTCGGGTGAGAAAACCGAGTCAGAGGAGGAGAGAAATGAAGGTGGTGATTCCAATACTGATGGGGATAGAAAAGATGGAGATGAAGGGAAAAATTCAGATGTGAAAGAAGGAGAGGCAGAAGGTGATGAAGAGAAACAAAATGAGAAAACACAGCTGGAAGAGAGCTTGGAAGAAAACAAATCTGAGGATGGCGTTGAAAGTGAAGAAAAGAATCAAGAAAACGGTGGTGAGTCTGAAGAAAACTCTGAGAAAAAGTCTGAAGAAAATGTTGGCAAATCCGATGAAAATGCTGAGAAGAGTACTAAGGAAGTCTTCCCAGCAGGTGAACAGGCTGAAATCACGAGAGAGGCAAAGACTGGAACAGGGGCTTGGTCAACTCAATTGGTTGAGTCACAGAACGAGAAAAAATCACAGCAGTCTTCAATATCTACGGATCAAAGCAGCTATGGCTGGAAAGTCTGCAATGTCACTGCTGGACCAGACTACATTCCTTGCCTTGACAACTGGCAAGCTATCAAAAAGCTTCCTACTACAATGCACTATGAACACCGTGAGAGGCATTGTCCTGAGGAACCTCCTCGCTGCCTTGTCTCTCTGCCTGAAGGATACAAGCGATCCATCAAGTGGCCGAAAAGCAGGGAAAAGGTGAAGTTAGATATGCTTATGAAACATGTGCTTCTGCTTCCTTATTTTCATGACATGCCATCCATTGTTTTGGTGTGCGTTGCAGATCTGGTACTACAATGTCCCTCACACAAAGCTCGCAGAGATCAAGGGACATCAAAACTGGGTGAAGGTTAGTGGTGAATATCTCACGTTCCCCGGTGGTGGAACTCAGTTCAAGAACGGTGCTCTCCACTACATCGATTTTGTCCAGCAGGTATAATTATCGTCCCTTTTTTTTATGATTATGCAGCCCTCTCCTTATGGAGCATGTCATTTACTTGAGCACTGCTGTTTTTGCAGTCACATCCTGATATTGCATGGGGCAATAGAACCCGTGTTATATTGGATGTTGGGTGTGGAGTTGCGAGCTTTGGAGGTTATCTTTTTGAAAGAGATACACTTGCCATGTCACTTGCTCCCAAGGATGAGCACGAAGCCCAAGTGCAATTCGCACTGGAACGTGGTATTCCGGCCGTGTTAAATGTTATGGGAACCAAAAGATTACCTTATCCCAGTTCAGTTTTTGACCTTATCCATTGTGCGCGTTGTAGGGTCCCATGGCATATCGAAGGTATGGTGTCCCACTATGTTGTAATGTTTATTTATCATTAATATTTTCCTCCTTGCTTGTATGAAATAACTTTTCTTTTGGTCTCAACTGAAGGTGGTAAACTTCTTCTGGAACTGAACCGATTGTTGAGGCCTGGTGGTTACTTTGTATGGTCGGCTACTCCAGTTTACCGGAAGAATGAAGAAGATTCTGGGATATGGAAAGGTTTAAATTCTTCTCGCGTATTTGATCATCATATGAATAAGCTTTCGGCAAATTGATGCTAACTCCTGAGTTGCCTCTTTCGTCTTGTAGCAATGTCAGAGCTGACAAAAGCGATGTGCTGGAAGCTAGTGACCATCAAGAAAGACAAACTGAATGAGGTCGGTGCTGCCGTATTCCAGAAGCCAACATCAAATCGGTGCTACAATAAAAGAACTCAAAACAAGCCACCGCTCTGCAAAGAGTCCGATGATCCAAATGCAGCCTGGTATTGTTTACATCTTTCATTTCTTTCTGGTATTCCGTATTGTGACATAAATAGAATAGTAGTAACTTACATTTCCGCCACAGTTTGACCAAGAATATCTAAACACGCGTGTATTATTCAGGAACGTTCTACTTGAGGCATGCATGCACAAGGTACCAGAAGATTCATCGAAGCGTGGAGCTGTGTGGCCTAAGCAGTGGCCACAAAGGTTGGAGACTGCTCCAGAGTGGTTGAGCTCTCAGGAAGGCGTTTACGGGAAACCTGCAGAAGAGGATTTCAACACTGATTACGAACGCTGGAAGACGATTGTTTCAAAATCATACCTCAACGGTATGGGAATTGATTGGTCTTCCGTGAGAAATGTCATGGACATGAGAGCTGTCTATGGAGGGTAAGCTTTTCCATTATTTCTCACCTTCCATTTTTCCATGAGCGTCTCTTCCTTTTCGATTTAAAAGTATGTCTCTCTTACCAGATTTGCTGCTGCGCTGAAGGATCTGAAATTGTGGGTGATGAATGTTGTCCCCATTGACTCAGCAGATACACTTCCGATAATATATGAACGTGGTTTGTTCGGAATGTATCACGACTGGTGTGAGTCATTCAACACTTACCCCCGAACTTACGACCTTCTTCACGCCGATCATCTTTTCTCTGCCCTGAAGAAGAGGTATACATGTAAACTACACGTCTCATTTATATTCAAGATTTCAAACTGGTTCTCTCGATCCTTAATATCCGTTCTCTGATCTCATGCCATGTCTTGACCCTTTTCTCGCATGGCAGGTGCAATTTGATATCGGTTATGGCTGAAGTCGATAGGATTCTCCGGCCACAGGGAACGTTCATCGTTAGAGATGATGTTGAAACAGTAGGGGAAGTCGAAAGGATGGCGAAATCGATGAAATGGGAAGTAAGAATGACGTACTCAAAAGACAACGAGGGTCTGCTTTCGGTTCAGAAGACGTTTTGGCGCCCCAAAGAGGCCGAGACAATAAAATCGGCGATCGCCTAACAAGCAGAGGATCGCCAGCAACTCTTCCTTCACTCAAAACCATTCCATTGGTTATTACACAGTTTGGTAAGTTGGTTCTTCAAGAACATCATCAAATTGGTTGTCACTTTTCCATAGGTAAGATTCTTTATCCACTTGCAATCTGAAGGAAATTGTATACATAATTCACCCATGAAAGTGTAGAAGTCAAAAAGAAGCTTGCTTTGTATCTCTCCATCCATATGAAAACTCGTAAGATATTTTTGGATTTTTTGTATGAATTTAGTGGAAGACAGATTGTTAGTAATGATTCTAATGAACGATTTTTACGGATCATTATTAAGGCATATATAGCTTGACTACTTGGATTTTTTGTGATCTCTTTATACTTTGTTAAAGCACTGATAAAGAGAAGAAGAAAACGGGTTTGGAAATACAATCACTTTAGATCATATATAAATGAATAGAGAGAAAATGTGAAGAAAAAAAAAATACAAGTTAAAGAAGTTCATCAAGTTTGATTCGTTATAGATGCAAATGATGAAAAGACAGTGGAAACTAGGTTAAGAGTGCAAAACATGTAATAGAATTCAGGTTTCAAAAAGTAGCTGAAACATGGTTTGTCTCAAGACTCAAGCAATTGCACACTACATTCGATATGGAACCGGTGACAATATAATATAACAATGTTAAAATTTCTCAAATTAATATCTAAATTCCTGAAAATGAGAGTAATTTCCAATCTAAAACAAAATCGATTTAGCCATTTTTGAACAAACTCAGATAGGGTTTTGGTTGAGAATTGCATTTAATTCCAGAAGTTGAGATATTAATTTGGCATCTTTCAATATTTAGGTATTATATTATCAAATTAAAAATTTATTTATTCGGTATTTTTAATTTTTTTTTCAATTTTTAACTATATGTGAAAGTCTCTATTACACAAAAACAAAAAGGTTTTTTGAATTAAAATGATTTAAGTCACATTAGTAAATCGAATTTTAATTTTAATTTTATAATTTTATAATCTTGTCTAACAAAAATAAATTTTTTTTATACATTAATAATTAAAAAATTATCCATAATTTTCTTCGAATAAAGAAATTATATTGATATTTTTAAAAATTATAAAAACATTTTATTTCATATAAATTAAATTTTATTAATTCAAATCTTATTACTAAAATTTTCATGTATTAAATCTTAATTTTAGATTTCTTTTATTAATCTACACGTATCTATACATCATTAAGAGACCCTATTTACCAACGATCATCACGAGACTCAAATTGATTATGTGCATAGAATTTATAACATATATATGTGTTTTCCCAAACCAAAAATCAAATATATGTGCAAATTATTTTAATTTAATCATAGATATAACATTAAATAATTTATATTCCACAAGATACCGTAATAAACAAGTTTTTTTCCTTACTAAAAGGAACATTTGCTTGTTATTGTTTTCGTCACCTTAATAAAATTATAAAAGAATTCAAATTTAGTCTCGAAGTCGAATCTCAACTTTAGAGAGGATTTATATATTTAAAATCACATGAATGATCCTGAATTCGAGATTAATTTAGATTTTGGTTCGGATACCGAAAAAAAAAACAAAAAAAAATATAAAAGACGTTGGACCCCTCATTACTGGTGCTGGATACTTGGAAGTTGGATTATCAGCGAGCGCGTATACATACACACAGTCACGAGAATATATATATATACACAGTGGCAGTGGCGGATCTATGTTGAAAGGAGTGGGGTACATGCCCCATTTGGTTGATTAAAAATAAGAATTTCTTTGTAAAATTTATAAGATTTTAATTAAAATTATTAGGT